TGTGCAGGTTGCTGTGTCACCCGGGTGCAGAATATACTGCTTTTTCTCTTCTCCATAATCCTGTGGGGCTGCAACTTCCGAAGCACAAGCAGCTGAGACAAAAAGTACCAGGGGCCCCTCTGGAGCAGCCTGACCTCATGTCCCAAGATCGCAGCCACAGCGCAGAGGGGCTCTTTCATTGTGTGATCCTCTCCCTGGACATTCAACAGAAGCCCTAACACTTATTAAAAAAAGAATGGGCGGTGGAGCTGAGTTCGGAGTAATTCTGTTTTGTTGGGTTTGGAGAAACGTGTTAGGCAGGTATTGAACCTGGTGTTTTGTTCTACATGTGAGAAGTGTGGCTTTGAGGATCTCTGGACACTAGAGCACATTTCCAAGACAGGAAAGGATTTTAGGTAGACAAATCACCATTAGAGGGTTTGCAAGCACAATTCTGTTCAAAAACAAAGGACTATTTACGGGTGTACCACAGTTGACAACCAACCTGAACTTTGCAGGTGGGTTTTAAAAAGGTGATCACTTAGAGTATAAATAGCTTACCATGTTCCATTGAGTCTAAGAGACACTTAAAAAATTAACATCTTTGAAATTGAGTTATGTCTTTCAATCAGTTGATATGAGAGTTTAACTGGCAGCATTTTTTCCTTCTTGGTATTACGTGTAATAATGGTGCATTCTACAAGTGGTAACACCTTAGATTTGATGAAGTATGATACTGGAGAGATGGAATGGCTGGTGGCAGGATTTTGCTAAGTAGCTACGTCTCCTACTGTATTTTAACACATTATTTAAGAAGTTGTTAAGGTCCTCCACCTGGCAGAGGACCCAGTACAAAATAGGCACTTGGTAAACACTGAACCAACTTTGGAAGGGCAAACTTACTGCTCAATGAGAGGCAGTCCTGTATGCTTTTGCAATAAAATGACTTTTAGAAGGAATTGTCTGTATGTATTTTTTTCCCTTACTCTAAAAAACTTGTTCATCTAGATCCTCTGGGGAAAAATATTTTCCACATGATGGAGTCCTGAGGTTATTTAGAGGAGAGAGGATGATCAGCATCTTAGAAAGACATTATCTTTGCTCTAATATTTATTAACTGTGTGACACTGGTAAGCCACACTTTCTCTGGGTTTAAACACAAGGGGGCCTGAACCAGGTGTTTGTGAATCAACACATTTTTCTGAGACAGTAGTATAGTCACATCTGTACAGCCCTCATCTGGGTGGAGAACAGGGCTTTTTACAGAAGAAAAACCCAATAACTGATAAGCAATAGCATCAGAGGGGAGTCTAGGTTCCACAGAACCTGCCCACAGTGACCGCACGCTGTGGACCTGCTGGAAGTATATCTGCATATATGGTTGGACTTACCCTTTCAACTAGTTAAAAAACATTGTGACCTAGACATGTTTAATTATGTTATACTGAAAATGGTGATTGGTTAGTCCATTCAGTAGATTTTTATTGAGCACTTGCTATCTGCCAAGTGCTATTCACCCCAGAGACAGCCGTGAATCCCAAGTCACAGTCCCTGCCCTCATGGAGTTCCCCATCCTGTAAAGGGGAGTCCTGAGGCTCCCCTTGATGTGACCAATGCTCACTCCCAGCAATTAGCTTCTACTGCATCATGTTCTTACCAAGCAGACGAACTTAGTTTCCTGCTCTATGTGTTCACCGCATCCTGTTTTCTGGAGTCTGTGTAAGGGACATAGGTCCGTGTCTTTCACGGAGATTTTCCTTAGGATACTCATCGTCATGTGATTTCCTGTCTGGACCATGCAACAGAGAGCCAAAAATTATCAACAAGAAGGCAGTCCCTAAGTCAACAGAACTGCAACCCATATGTCCAAATGAGAGTGAGTAGAACATGTTCTCATAAATCCCTTTTTTTCATAGATATCAGAATCTGTATCTGAGTTTTTACAGAAAATCACCTTTGCTTTGAATTTGAATGTGTAGACATGCAGAGAGCAATTTATCCATCCTCCACATCTAGAGAGTATCCATTTCCTTGTTTCTTTCTTTCCCAAGAATAAAGGAAAACAAGGATAGCTTAGACAAGAGGACAATCAGCTCTAGTTCAAGGAATAATGTCCCTTCACCCCTGCATAACCATGTACTCATTTCAGGCTGTCTACTGCCTGCATATTTCTAGCTTTCATCTAGGGCTAGAGGAAATGGGATCAAGGTCATATAATGCAAGAATGGCCACATAAAAGCAAGCACTGGGAAACTGGACTGGTTAGGTAAGAGTTCAGCCCAGCTCTAGAACCTCAGGCAACCTCAATTATTAAATTAAGAAAGCCCTAGAATGATTCACCCAAGTCACCCCCACTGCTAGCACACACAGAGCCTACTCTAGGAGAAGGAATGCATTAACTGCAGACGTGGGATTCCATCCTGACACCCAGCAGTTCCGCATGGCTGGTGGCATATGCAGCTTTCTTCCAAGGAAGCAGATGGACTGGACCAAGTCGTTGAAATCCATCGGCGTGTCTGTCTTCAGGAGGGCTATGTTATTGCTCATTGACTTATTATCAAAGCCCTCATGGATGATAATGGTATTGACTGGATACTCTGTGTGAGAAATCTTGCTAGGATCCATGTTAGCTATACCAACTATAACGAGAGCATCCTTCCTGGAGAGAGAACAAGGGGATCTTGAGAAGCCAAGGCACCAAGGGACCTTCACACCTCCCTGTTTTCATATTCACTGTTTTTTCAGCCTGGGACGCTCATCCAAACTCATCTTCCCTGGGTTAATTTTTACTCACCCCTTTGGACCCAGTCTCCAGGAAATCTTTTCTGAACCCCTAGGCTTGTGTCCTCTTTTGTGGGCCCATAGAATCTGGGGGATTATTCTACCTTACCATCATTTGTCCCACCACCTAAAGATAATCTGTTACCATGTTATTGCTAATTAACTTGTTTTCTATGCATAGTTTTCTTCTTACACAGTTGTAGTTATACCAAAGATGTAATCTCAATTTCTGCTTTTAGAACTTAACATTTTAGTACAAGCATCTTTTCACATTATATACTCTGTAAATACACTTTGGAGAAATTACAGTTTTAATAATGATGAAGTTAAGCTGGGTGTTTTCCCTTTCTCCTTTCAAGAATCAGTCAAGGAACTATGGAAATAAGAAACAAATGCAAACACCGTAAAATCAAGAGACACTAGAAAATCCAAACTTCAGTATCAGAGGGAGGGCTGATGAAATCAGTGAGGGGTGGCAGGAGTGCAGAAGGTCACAGATGACACCTACAGCCACAGAGCCCAGGGAAAGCTGATCAAGCATGGTTCTCAGCAAAGAAACAAAGAAGTGCGAAGAAAAGAAAACCATCACCAAAATGAAGGCCAAATTGGAAGCAGTATAAAGGAGAATAGGGACCACAGAAAACACAATTAGGGGCGTAGAAGGTAGGCTGAGCAAAGCAACCAAAATGAAATGGAAATTAACCAAGACTTTTAAAGGGCAAAAGAGAGGAAAATGACAGGTATGGCAGTCAAAGGAGAGCCAGCAGACCACAAGAAGGTAACCAAAATAATGACACAGAAAAAATATTTCATGACATAATTTAAGAAAGCTTTCCAGAAATAATACTTGAATCTATAGTTTGGAAGGGTATGCTGTCCTAGTGAAAAAAATGATACAGAATAATCCGTACTGAGACATTCTCCAGTCAGGTCCCAA